AATCCAATCCCAGGACTGGAAGGTGGTTAGGTTCGCCTCAAAGTCTTTTGCATTGACCCACTCACACTCTTCACCAGCATTTACGGTGACTAATTCCACTTTATCAGCCTAAAACATGAAATTACAGAAAACACGTGCAATAACATGGGTGTGATCAGATAGGTATTGCCATAGAGGAGAAAATGGTTTAAACTTATCAAAGAATTTTCAGTACATGAAATGGCAGTCAATGGCATTGCACAGATAAGCATTTTAGCAATGCTAGTGCGGGAGAATATAGCAAAATTGTTAGTAACATGGTGGAATTAAAATGTTAAATCTACGTCACCGCACATTTTTTTATAAATGGGGAAAAGTGGAAACGTTATGCTCTAAACAAATAGAAGAAAAACGGCGTACCGCAGTTTCAGGTGCCAACCACTTAACGCATGCCTCGATGAGTGTAGACTTCAAGTCGGTTTCAGCGACGCCAAGGTTCTTTACAGGGCTGGCAATACTGCGCAAGGCTGCAGTTGCTATCTCCGGCTAATGACATTAACAGTAGACTCACATGATGCTTGAAATCGTGAGCACAACGGTAACAGTAAGCAGTAGGTGATTAAATACCAGTGGTTAACTTTGAAATTCTTAAAGGTAATAAAATTGGAGAATAGATTATATGAGTACAAATGCGTGAGAATATGAAAACGCACCACAGCCGGCTCCAAGACAGCGGACATGGCATTGATGTCTGTGTTAAACATGAGGGTACAGTGGTGCAGTCCTGCGGTAGACGAGTATCTGGACGCTGACCCAGAAAACTTGGACGCCACATCAGGCACCTAAGCAAGAAAAAAAATTGGCGACTGTAACTAAGGTAATTATTGCCCCAACGGTATGGGAAAGCTTACAGTAATGCGAAAAACTCAGGGCAACGTTCTCACGTGCGGAGCAAATCAAAATTAGGATAATCTCCATTTAGAAAAAATAAAATGTGCCTAGCAAAGAAATGAGATCACTTATCAAAACATCACGTATGATGCTGGCACTGACACCAAATATGTCAATTATCAGAAATTGTTCATTTATTGTAAACGGGAAACATGGTTATGCTTGAGCTGAATTCGCCATCCAGCCGTGGTTCTGCAAAAGCTTAAGTATTTACGAAGGGAAATCATTGTGCGTACATAAATCGACTTCGTAACTAAATATGGATGCACATTAAGTTCCATGTATCGTCACCACATTTCCATCAGCTCACTTGAGATCGACCGAGTCAACTGATTGCAAGACGCGTGCTACATGAACACGGATCCATCATTCGCAAGGCTGT